CAGTAAGAATTAAGCCAGTTTGTATTTCCAAGTCTGCAAGTCATAGCTCAAGCTCTAAAAAAGATAATTCAGGAACTGTTGTCCTCTTTGACACTAAAATTCCGATCAAACTTAAATTAGAGAAGGTTGAACCATTTACGATGGTTGTTGATTCCAAAATTAGAATCGAATACAAATGTGACGAGACTATATCATTTTATGATTTGTCGATTTATAGAAATAACATTTTATTTTATTCTTTTGATATGCCTATCAACAAATTATGCTACAACAGTCACTTTTTAGTAATCTACTCTACATATTTACAAATATACAATATTTCTACCGGTGTGTTGATTTATCCATTTATTTTTTATGATTTAACCTTTATGGATCTATTTTATAACAAACTCCTTGTAGTAAACTCTCAAGGAGAATTTAACTTGTATGAAATATATTCTAAGTCTGTAGTACATAATGGCAATAAGTTTGTAGCAGGTTTATCCCCTAAAAATATCTACGATATGTTTCAAAGGAAAGATTTAGATATGATAAATAATACAACAATACTGCAGTCTAATAGTTTAAGAGATAAAGATCCATTGGATAGGCCAAATTGTACAATGAACAAGCAATCTCTTAACAATTTCCAGATGCGTTTAGTTCGCAATGGTTCTCTTCCAAAACTTGATGGATTGATTAAAGTTGAAGTTCATTCATCTACAACACTTTTAGTAGAATATTCAACTGGTGAAATATTCTATTTAAAAGATAATTTATGGCTTGTTCTAAATCCCACTTTTAATTCTATAAATAGTTCAACTATCGATGAAAACCTAAAGGATCAAACTATTGATGAGATAGAATGTTTGTTTCAAATATATAAAAATATGGAATCAGAAAGAGTTTTACAAAAAGTTAAAAATTCCTATGCAAATAGTAACTTGGATGATTCTATTTTAAGTAGGATTATGTCAATTTGTAAATCACTAGTGGGTATAATTAAAAGGGATAATAATTTGGGCTCTTCTATGGAATTTAAGGCTGAAATGATTTTTGATTATTTAATAGAGCTTGGAGCTAAGAAGGAGCAAATTAGAATATTTTTAGCTGAATTGAATCAAATTCAGCCTGCACAATATTTTGTTACACGAATGGCTACAAAATATAAAATATAAATAAATTTATTCTACGATAAGTTATTAATATGTGTATCCAGCCTTAGGTCCTTTTAATGAATTTAAAAGAAATTGCTGATATGGATAAAGTATATAAAATGCGATTAAAAAATGTTTTTTGGTATTTAACTCTTTTGCTTTTGTAATTGATTTATTTATCAGGATATATGAACATTTATTTCTTGTGAAAGCTACCATTTAGCTTGTAATTGTTTAAATCACTGCAATATTTGGATATATATTAGGGTTTGTTTTTATAAAGCATATTATATTGTTTAAAAGTTTGCATCTCTATTGTGGTATTATGATGCGACAGTAATGTTGACTAAATATTTCTTCTTGATGACAGATTTTAACCTTCATATCATAATATCACATAGACTTACAGATTAGTTTAAAAAATTTCTAGCAAAATTTTTCCCTCAACAATGGATTTGATTTTACTTGGCTTACACATTAAAAGGGATGCAGAAACATATAAAAATGAATTCTATAAGCAAATTGACATGTTAAACACGCTAATAAATTTACCAAAAGTGCCTATCAAACAAGTCAAGCCAATTTTAGCATTTGTAGTTAAAAATGTATGGAGATACAAGTACGAAGCAAATACTATAATATCATCTTCTGTACACCAACCACTTAGCATTAAATATTCCGAAATTCTCCAAATAATCTATAATTCTCTACATTTTTTAGATAGAAAATCAGTTCATGCGATTTTGAATGAATTTGTAACTCTACGTCAGAAAGAAGTTATCTCCTCCGCTGAATTATTTAAGTACTTCTTGCTTTACGATTTCAATAATCACAAGTGCAAAGAATTTCTTGATTTGGAATGTTATAACATTTTGGTAGAATGGTTTAAAAAGGGAACTGACAAGCAGAAAAGATTTAGCTATTACTACTTGCTATTGCTATTTAACCAGATCCATAAAGAAATATCGAAAAATGGTACAACTAGCAGCAATATTTCGACGGTTCTAATGGATGAATTGGAATCTTTAATTTGCTCAGCCTTTTTTTGTTCTAAAAAACTTTCAAAATTCTGTATGCTTTATTTTTTAAATGAAACAGATATTGAGTTTGATATTTCTAAGATTAAAAATGGAAAAGTTGTGGGGATGAAAATCTATAAGCAGTTGAATAATGAACATTTTGATCGAGATGAGAAGATTATGAAGATTAGAATATTCAATTTATTTAAAGAACATTTCAATATAAACTATACCTTGACAGAAATTATTATTAATATGATAAATAACCAAAGATTGATGATTGATGGTAATTCCAAGGAAGCTGGAATTAATGAAGTGTCAACTTGTTGTGTAACAAATGATATTGCTTCGACTGATTTGAATTCGATCACGAACTCAATACCAACCTTGCTGAAATGTTTAGTGGACAGTGTCGATAAGAAGGAGTTAGAATCAACTCTTAAGAGAGTTGGGATGGAATTTATTAGTGAGAACAATGAAGATGAAATAATCGCTTATGGATTGAATGTAATAAGATGTATGTATGTGAAAATATTTAGAAGGGAGATTATTGATGAAATGGAAAATGAGGAAGACAGTGTTGATTGTGAGGAGATATCCTATGATGGTGAATATGTGAAATCTGAAGATCTTGAGTCATCTACCGATAAAATCAATTCTAATAACACAGATTTCGATAGCAACAATATGATCCCTGATAAAGTACCGCAAACTCAGGAAGAAATGAAACTTTATAAGAATATCATTTTTGATATAATCTCTCCTTTTAAAGGGAATCGGAATAAAACCATACTTCATTCCTATAAATCTGTTATAAATGTCCTAGTAAAAGGTAGGAATTCTAATAGGACAGTGGAATTTATTAAAAAGCATAGTACGAAGGAAGAAAAAGAAAAGCTAAGAAAAAAAGGACAGAAACTAAAAAAGGATCAAACCGAAGAAAAAATGAAAATGTTTAAATTAAAAATAAGTAACAAGAAAGGTAAAAAATTCAAAAGTAAAAATAGTGACAAAAGAAGAAAAATTTTAATGGCTCCAAGTAAAAAGAAGAGTAAGAAAAGTTAATTAGAATGGATATTGACGAATAATAGGTTATATTTATAAACTCTGAACAATATGGTAATTATCAAAACATTTGAATAGTTTTTATCACGAACAATTAAACCTGCCTTTATCGAGTGAGTTTCAATTCATATCTCTTTTATCAACAAGAAACATAATGACCATGACCTAAAATATTTAATTTAATATATGTATTTTACTATTACAGAGATATCTCAATACAATCTCATCGGAACAGCCATTAAAACTTTTTGATTCACAATCACTCAAAATTAAGTAAAATTCTCCTTTCAACTGATCTGGCTTTTGTATTTTTATTCTGGAATCTAAAATAATTCCACACTCGGCTAGTTGTGTAAGTAGTTGTAAGACAGAAAATGAATCTCTAATAAATGATTCAACAAACTGATTAATGTTCCCCACTGTCAAATTCATAAATTGATTGACAATTTCCTTGGGAATAATACCAATACATTCATCAATTAATTGATTCAAATCGGTACCATATTCTATATGACTAGATGATACATCGGAAGTGGCTGTGTTGATATATGGATTTGTACCAATATTATCTTTATCCTCCATTCTAGAATTATAAATAATACTACTTATTCCTTGTAATACATTTATACTACGTCTTAGATCTCTATTACATCCAATAAATATTCTTTCGATATGGATCTTTTCCAAATTAATTTGTTCCTTCTTATTAATATCATATAGTATTTTGTTCGTTTTTCCATTAAATTTAAATTTTAATAATCTACTTTTTAAAGGCCCAATTATTTTACTATGATAATTTGTAATGAAAATAAACGTAGTGTTATGATAATCCTCAAGAATTCTCCTCAAGCAAGTCTGTGAATCTTTTGTTAGGTTTTCACACTCATCCAATAAAATGATATTCTTTTTAACAGTTTTAGCATTCTTTTTAATAACATTTCTTATAGTATCAATCCCCCTATCATCTGATGCGTTCAAGACAATAGTTGGCTTAAGAATTTGAGCAAACGTAGTTTTACCAGTTCCAGGAGGTCCATAGAGTAATATATGTGGAAACCCATTTCTCACTGAATAGTTTAGAAAGGATTTTAAATACTCAGGCAAATCCATTGAATCTAAATTAGTAGGGCGATACTTCTCAGTCCACAAATTTTCCATAAGAGGGGTCAAATATCCAATAATATTGTCATGAACTGTAATTCTGGCAAATTCTATTTATAAAACAACTTAAACCATACAATTAGTTCCCTATTTATTTTAAAGATGATCAAATTTACAATTAATAGAGTAATCAATTTTGACAGAAATTAATGCAATATATCTTCGCAAAAAATAGATTGTTATTGTCCATACATATAATATAATCTTGCTTCTTTGCACATAAATGTAATTATCACATAATCTTTCAAATAGAAATTTTCATTATTTATACAAAAGAGATCCAATCGGTAGTTCACACACAGTTTTTTAAATATTTAAAACAATAAAAGGGGGATAGACCAGACTTGAATCAAAGACTTTATCTACTGCATTCAATCACAGAATTACTAAATTTGAATTGGAATAATAGACTAGGATATGATCTTAATGTATATTCAATTTGTAAATACATGAAAGTTAAAATGACACAAGTAAGTATAGAGGTAATTTTTCTCTTGCTAAGTGAGTATATAATTTTTCATTCCAAAACCTTAAAAGTATGTATTAGTTTATGATTAAAAATTTATTTCCAAAATTGCCTAACAAATTGTTCAATCTACAATAATTGATAATATTCCTACCACAAATTAGTAGCATCTCCTTCCGAGTCTTCCTTTTCATCTTCACTACTATCTGATATTTCTTGATCACTGATTTTATTTATTGATAAATTAGAAATTTGATCAACTAGAATTTTCTTAGTTCCCCTGTGTGGATAATTAGTCTTCTGTTTAATTAGTTCAGGCACTTCATTCTTACTTTCCAACAATACACTTATAAGATCATTTCTAAACACATCATTTGTTAAAACAGAATCACCCCTTTCAACAAAAGAAATAGCCTCCCCAGCTTTACCCGATCTACCCGTCCTACCGATCCTATGAATGTACTCTTTAATTTCCCTGGGGAAATCATAATTTATGACTATTTTTATATCATCAATATCTATTCCCCTAGCTGCTACACTTGTAGCTATTAGAATATGGGTTCTATTTTCTCTAAATTTCTTTATAGCAAGAGATCTCAAATCTTGATCTTTATCACCATGTACACTATCGGCATACCAGTTATAGGAACCCTTATTGGTATTGATATTACGAGTATTTGATAAAATACTTTGATCATTTATTTTTCTTTCTAACTCAACTGCGGTTTTCTTTTTTTCTACAAAAATCAAACATTTGTCTGCTGATTGGTTACTTTTCCAGCTACTTGAGAAATTTAATTTTTCAAGAATCTTCACTAATTCCTGGTCCTTGTTGTTGCAATAAATAATTTTCTGGGAAATATTTTCAACAGTTTCATTCTCAACTTCTACGATGAATTTATTTTCTCCTAAAAAATCCGTGATAATTTTGTTTAAATTTTTATTGTAGGTTGCAGAAAACAAGCAAATTTGAACTGAATTACCATTCGATATTGGAACTGCAGAGCTGTTTTTGCTAGTATCAGTTTTGTTCTTGGATACATATGAATATATTTTACGTATATCTACTTCAAATCCCATATCTAGCAATTTATCCGCTTCATCCAGCACAAAAGCTTCCAAATTAGTAAAGTCTATCTTATTTCGAATTAATAAATCCAATAACCTGCCAGGTGTTGCAATAATAATATCCACATTATCATAGGAATACAATTCTTTCTTTCTGCCATAAACAGACTCAACCTTAAGGTTTTTATAGGCAAAGTTGCTATTAGAGGTTCCTGTACGTACAAGTTTTCCAAATATACCCTTGTTACTACTATCATCTGAAAAATTGGATTTGCTTCCAAATACAACATCTCTATTGGGAAGCCATGGAGATGTCACATTCACAGATGATGGTTCTGAGTTATTTCTTAAAATTAGCTCACATTGATCCTTTATTTGATCACACAACTCTCTAGTTGGAGAAATTACACAGATACGTAAGGAGGTTGATTTAGATAATCCTTTGGCCATCATGTTACTGTTAAAGCTTTTATTCTTTGGTTTTAATTTATCTAAATTTTCTAATAAGGGAAGTAGAAAACAAAGCGTTTTACCCATTCCCGTGGGCGCCCTAACTAAAATTGATTGTTTAGCTAAAATAATTGGTATGGCATATTTCTGTACCGGAGTGGGTGTAGTAGAAGGAGGTATAAAGGACCCACAAAGTTGTTGGCTGCAAGAACTTTGCTCCTTGAGTGTTTGGGTAACTGCATTTTTGGTACTGGGCAGTGCAAATTCTTCTAGCCTTGGATAAATACTATTGGTACGAACTTTAATATTACCATCCACTTCTATTCTTAAATTGGAATTCGTATAACTATTGCAACCTGTAATATTACTTCCATTCGTGGAGCTTGATGTTAAAGATTTTTCGTTCGTATATCTATTGTTTTTCATTTTGGAGTATGCTTTGAAATTATTTTTCGAAGAGTTATTCATAAATAAGGGTTACAAAAAAAGTAAAAAAATTCATGCTTGTAATTAAATAAAAACTAGAAGTAAATAGTTGTACTTTAGATTATATTGTATTTAAAAGGCCAAAATCTAATCATTACACATTCCGGTAATATTTACCAGCATTATATATTTCATAGTTATTTATGAAAGTGATAGCTACATATTTGATAGATAATACAATGATTTTTTTATAGGAAATCCTGGATCGAAGACTCAAAATTGTTGGGTACCTTCATTAACTTGCATTTTCTTAAATCTTAGCATGAAACATAGCTTTGGATTAGCCAGGGAATGAAAAATGATAGATTTCAATATTGTTACCTGTGGTATTATAAAAATCATTTAGTTTAATCCCATACAAAAATGGTTTTATTGAGTAGGAATCAACTTAATGCAACTCATTTTAGAAATAAGCCTGTGAAAATGATCTATTGAACGCTTTTATTCTCAAAAGAGATATGTATAAAGATTCATTTATTTAATCTATTTATTCAAAATGTTTATAGTTATCTGATATTCTTCTGCAAATACTTGGAATGATAGGATAGTCGAAGGGGAAATAATTTAAGGTATCGTTTTCTATGACCAAGACAATATCACTTTCGAAAGATCTCAAATCAATTAATCTAGATTGATAATATATCACTGGATACTTTAGTAGGAATTTTTCCACTACCACTTGATTCATTCGAAAGTGAATCAGGTTATTAAAAATTGTATAGATAATTGAACATAAATTGTCGAACGAGTTTAGAAAAGAAATAAAGGGGTTATCAAGTGTATTATCGGTATTAGGTTTAGAGGTATCTGTTAAATTTTTCGTATCAGATGAAATTAGCTTATATAATGATTCATCCAATTCAGCAAAACACAAGATGTATAACAGTCCCTGTGCCTTTCCAACGTATTCTAAACTATTTGGCAGAAAAACACCCAATTTTGTGTAATTTATATATGCTATCAGACATTTCTTAAAATAGATGTGATCTGTTATGTCCTTAGAATCACTTCTAAATCTGCTTAAAAGTCCACAAAATACATTTAAGCTGTTGTACACCCTATCATTTGACTTTTTTAAAAAATAACTTAGAATTTCTTTTTTGAACTTTTCGGCTAATTTGAATAGGATAAATTGAATATTTCTGGTTCTAAATTTGAATACTTCACTAATTAATTCCAAAGAAACTGCTAATCTCAAGTTCTTGACAGATTCTAGAATATGGTCAAATGAATTTGCAATAATTTTAATTTTTTGAATAATTAATAGATTATCTGTACAACCAATTTCAGACTCAACAGTCTTTAATGGAGCTTTAAATGAGTTTAAATCTCCAGGGGCATTTGTAGTATTATTTTCTAGCTCAGATCGATTCTTCAAATGATCTAAAACATCAGAAGATTCTACATGAGAATCCAATATTTCACTTCTTTGATTTATTGTATTATTTTCTAGGTTGATTGTTTCACCTAGATGATTCACTAATTCTTCCCACTCTTCCTCAGTTTTGTTTTCATAAAATACTGTTACAGTAGCATCGACTTCGCACAATTTAGTTAAAACTGATTTGATGATAGTTTTACTCATTGAAGTGTAAATTGTAAATGATAGATACTCTGGAATTTTCTCTAATTTAAAATCATTCTTAATCTCATTCAATATAGCCAACTTCTCTTTGAAAGAATGGACATCTTTTGCCATAAAAGGGTGTGTGAAAACTAAGATATTTAAAAAAACTTATTCTATTAAAATTAGGCATCATTTTCACTTTATTCGAAGAAACGGATTCTATGTAGAATAGAGGCAAACATGGCAATTACTCCATTTATTTATAATAAATATTGGATATCTCAGCTGGAGTATACTACATTTTGGAGATGATTTTGTGGATATTTATGAATTAAATCGATGATAACATAAAGTTTAATCCAAATATATTACTTGTATCTACATTAAACCTATTCACTAGCTTTTATCATATCATACAGTCTTCTGTAATATCCCCATTTTATATAATAATCCAGATTATCGTAGTTTTTCTTACAGACATTTATTTCTTTTTCCACTATTTCTTTTACTTCCTTTAGTTTTTGTGAATGTCTTTCTAAAATGGCAAATTCGATCATTTCTTCCAAGCCTAATACTCTTTTTAAAAAGTTTAAATCTAATGGACTATTTTCACTCAGTTTACTACTATTTAGATGCTTATTGATAAAATGCTTGGCTCTTTTATAATCATCCTTTAGAATACTGTAAGCACTATTAATCGAATCAATACTTTTAGAATCTGATAAAATTTCAACGGATGAATTAATTAATTGTTTTGATAAGTCACTAATAAAATTTTTATCCAATGTGTTTTTACTAGAAATATTGTTTAAGTTAAATTGACTGTCTTTTGTATAAGATGTAGAAATTTCAGTAATACAGTCTACATTTCTGCTTAACTTATGAAGATTACTAATTCTCTCTGATTTAGCGGTTAAAAATATATCATTGTCCTTAGATTTGATTATATCTGGATGGCATTTTCTAATCATTTCAAAATATTTTTGTTTCAATGCTTTCTGATCAATGTCATAGACTTTTGGAATTTCAAATATTTCAAATGGATATTGATTTATTTTTTTTAAATTTATAAAATCAGAACTTATTTTTGACATTTGGGGGTACAACGAACATATTGAATGATTTTATAGTTAAATACTGAGTAGAAGTTAGTTTTAAATCCATGGATGGAAGATTATAAGAATTAGATAATTTATATACAGGGAGTTTAGAATTAAAAATTTTAAAAGTCAGTTATATATGAAGAATCACAATTGATAAAATTGTTAAATAAGGATAAAACAATCAGTGGTTAGCCGAATTCGAAATTTTTTTAAAAGATCAGAATTCTACTTTTCACTAGAAATCAGTTGATTTATTATTTTTGAGAAAATTTTCATTCTATCCCTTTAATGGCTAAAATTAAAAAAGATGTGAAGCAAATTCATAAAAAAATCAATGGCAAAGATTACAAAGATGAAATCGGCAGAAAGGAAGAAACAGACAAGATTATGGAGGAAAAAGCAGAAGGTAGTAAAACTATTGCACAAATTGGTCAACCAAAAAAGAAATCAAAATCTAATAGTTCTGGAAAAATCGTCCCATCTGAATTGGATAAAGTTAAGGGGGTTAATGGGAGAGTGGAAATGAGCAATTTCAGTAATGAAAAGTATACTGATGATAGGAAGAAAAAAGAATCAAAAACATATAACTATTCAATCCCAAAGAAAAGCCGGAAAAGTGACATTTCAAAATCATTAGAATATTCCAAGGATGCTGATGGTGAGTCTTCAAAAAACCAATCTCCGGAAAATTTCGATAAAAATCTGAAGAAAAAGTTTAAAGTGAACGATGATAGTTCTAAAACTATAATAAACAATGCTTATTTTTTAGATGATGCATCTCCAGAGGAAAAGGAATTGATTCAAAAGGGTACTCTGAGTGATAAAATAAATTGCCTGAGTCTTCTTTGCCTAAGAAATCCGAATGGTCTAAATTTTAAACAGTTACTTTCATTTGCGGAAAATCAGAGGCATGATACAATCTATATGGTTTTAAAAAATATTCAAGAGATTCTTATGGAGTTTAACAATATTGAAGATGATGGAAAATTCGCCAGTAGCGAGGAAGAAATAATAAATTCCGAAAAAACTGACAATAATATAATATCGACAAATTATAAAATCGGTGGAAAAATTGATATGAACTCAATAGATATCTATATCAAGAATAGAATTATTAAGACTTTTGAAATTAATTCAAAAAATCAGTTTATTGGGGACAAAGTGGTAAGATTGATTGAGAAGCTCATTTCAGATAGAATTTACACTCATGAATTATTGTTAATTTTAATTGCAAGAATCAATATAGGAAAAAACGAATTTATAAGGAACAATTTTAATCATTTTGAAAAGTTTTTAATTGAAAATATTGAGGAATTTTATTTCAAAAATGATAATTTCCGATCTCAGTTTAATGTATTAAAACTACTCAATGGCATTGTCACATCAGAGAGTCACTTATTCGATTTTTATAATAATTTACTTATTGATGACAACTATCAGGAAAGTGAAAAAGGATTAATGCTAGACTTAATAGTCTGTGGCCTTGATGGTAATATTAAAATGGCCCAATTGGATGATGAGGTGTGTAGAAGTGATATGTGCCAAATCAACCTGATAACTGAAATTAGAAATTATACAAAAAATCCTAAGGTTGTAATAAGCTGTATGAAACTTCTCAGGAAGATTAGAGACCCATATTTGCATTCATTTATCTTGAGGGCTATAAAAAAGCATTGTCTGAGGACAAAGAATGATTCAAAGGAAAGTTCATTTTTGTTAGAAACGGAGTTCTTAAATGAGCTGTTTTTAATTCTAAATGATGAAACTCAAAGAGTCAAATCAGATTTGATAGATACGCTTTCAGGCAACTGTTTCTATTATTCACCAGAATATATTTGTAGTATATTAATTTTGTTGGGTATGAAAAAACAGGATAAAATCAAAATATCTGGCAAGACTGATATAAAAAATTACGGATTGTATATTCTACAATATCATTGGCATCCATTGGTCAGGAGATTGACGATGTCTATCCTTAATGACGAAAATATTATTCCATTTGATCCATATGATGCTATGATGACAAATTTAGAAATATTTCAGGAATAAAACAAAGTGATAGGTTCTGATTTAATTTGAAATATATAGAAAATGAGCTTAGATATGGTAAAAATATTGATGGACCAAAAAACGCAACCCAGTATTGGGAATTAAAAACATTA